ACTCAGTCCAATGCCTGGCGAATAGTAGGTGCTCAATAAAGGATGAATCCAAATTTACAGTGAGGAAACAGGTTCAGAGAGGGGAAGCAACTTTCTCCAAAATAAGTGGAAGAATCTGACTTTGCACTGTGACCTGCCTGGCTCCAAAGCTGGTGTTCTCAGCCTCTCTGCTAGGTGTGTCCCAGCAGACACAAGCCTGGGGTGCCTAGAGTCAGGTGGAGGCACCTATGCGGGCCCACCCTAACCCCTCACTGTGGTCTGATAGGGTCTGGCTGGGCAGGGTGGTGGCAATTGCCTATTGTACGAGAAAGAATCAGTGTTGACAGACAGGAGCAGGTACCCACAGCCCTGTGCCAGTGGGCAGTGCACGCTTGCCTAGATGGCTCATGGAGGTGGGCCCATGCTCCAGGGGAGGAGCCATGACTCAGGCATTGCTCCCTCTCCCTCAGGCTGACTCAGGTCCCTCCCTGGCCCCACCTGGGGCTCAATGACAGACAGCAATGGGGAGCAAGTGGGGGGTGTGGGAGGCTGCTTACAGGCAAGCAAGAGGGCTCCCACGGCCAGAGCAAAGCTGCCCTTGTGCTGCCTCCAGGTCCCCATGCCCCCAGTGGATGATGCCTTCCCTACTGGGGACACCTTGCAAGTGGAATCTTTGGTTCCCTCTCTGTCCCTCTGTCTGCCTATCTGGGTCCTCACAGCCCCTTCTCTCCTACTCCATCCATTCCCCAAGGGGAGGGCCTGCATTTGGGATGCTGGCACTGGGCACAGGCTGCAGCCTTGCACATCAGCTGTAGAGAGGCAGTGTCGATTCTCACTGGGTCTCAGGTGCCGGCTGCCGCGGGCTCCATGGTTTTCATTCCTGGTTCATTCTTTGGAGGGTTCCCATGGGAGGTGGTGAAGGTGGGGCTCAGAGTGCAGACTCTGAGCCCTGAGAGGCTGGAAGAGTGGGCCACGTCACAGGACCTAGAAGAAATCACTCACTCAGGCCACGGCGGTTGGTCTTCCTCCTCTCTGGCCCATCTTGCCCAGTCTGATTACCCATGCCAGGCAGAGAGCTTGGGATAAGGGAAAAGATGGTGCCCAGCTGCAACTGGAATAAGACGTCCTAGCGGGACCACAGGTGCTGCCGGCTCCTCTTTGTATTGGAACAAGCCAGATATGGGGGGAGGAGGGCCAGTATGGTGGGGGCTACATGTGGGCAGCAGTTGGGGATTCATCTGGGGAGCCCTCTGTTTTTATGGCCCTTGGCAACACTGCACATAGGGGCTTCACATGAGGAGACTGAAGCCAACTTTGAGGACCACAGGAGAAGGAAGGGTGAGCTTGGCAGGTGGCCCCGTCCTGCCTCTCTGGGGAGCTCCTGCTCTCTCCACCCCACAGTGGTTCCCATGCACAGCTCGCTTTCCCCGGGCAGCTGGGAGGAAATCTGAGGGACGAAGCCTGCTGCTCTGTGCTGAGTGAGGCTCTGAGCGGGGCTGGAGGGTGGGAAGTGGAGAAGGTGGGTGAGGACAGGGATTGGGGTTTGGCATCAGGGCTGGAAGCCAGGGCCACCTGTCAAGAAGGCTAGCTGGCCAGGGGTGCCCCAGCTGGGAGCTTCTGCTCAGTCCGGACAGTCTCAACTGTTCTCAGGATCTCCCAACACAGACACATTTGCAGAGGACAGAGCAGATTCTGGAAGCGCCACTCTGCTAGCTCTCTCCACAGTGGCCCATCCATGGCACCACCAACTTCTCCATCTAGTTAAGGGGCCCAGGACCCGGGGCTTACTTCCCAACCAGAGTGGCAGCATCAGCCTGGGGATGGGGAAGAAGGTAACTTCCTAGGCCTGGGACCATGTTGCCAGCAGATTCCAGGCCTCCCAGGAGAGCTTGGCAAAGACCTTGAATGATTTAAAACCACTTAAGAAAGTAGAAAGGGAATGAACTGATATCCACTAGTCTTGATCTAAGAGTCTCCCATGTATTAAGCATTCATAAAATGCCTTCAGTATTCTCTGAGTATTGAATAAAAGAGAATTAAATTCTCTTTTAATTCTCAAAAATAAAACTACCTGTTTAATTTTTAACATATTTTGTACCACCCATTTAAATGTTTATTTGACACATGTTGGTAAATTAACTCACCTTTCATTTCAACAAATATATTTATAAAGGAAATCTGACATTACTACCAAAAGAGGAAAATCATAATCACTTTCCAGAAGCAGAAGGAAATGATATACAGAAAGACTTAGCTTCTAATTAGATGCTGTTACTTTCTAAAGGTTCTGAGCCCAAAGCTGGCTCTGTTTTTTTGAACAGGGTGATTGACAAGTGTGGCAGGGTGTTAGAGAGGCCACAGTGTCCAAATGAGATTTCCTCCTTGACTAATCAGAAGATTGAAAAACAGGAAAAGAGGCCGGGTGCAGTGGCTCATGCCTATAATCCCAGCACTTTGGGAGGCTGAGGCAGGAGGCTCTTTTGAGCCCAGGAGTTCAAGATCAGCCTGGGCAACATAGTAAGACCCCATCTTTATGAAAAAAAAATTAGCTGAGCATGGCGGTGTGTGTCTGTAGTCCCAGCTACTTGGGAGGCTGAGGCTGGAGGATGGCTTGAGCCCAGGAGGTCGAGGCTGCAGTGAGCTGTGATCCCACCACCGCACTCCAGCCTGGATGACAGCATGAGACCCTGTCTCAAAACAAACAAACAAACAAACATGGAAAAAGGAAATCTCTCCAACAGCTTCAGTATTAATCTTATTCTTAGTTTTTGAGATGGAGTCTCGCTCTGTCGCTCACGCTGGAGCGCGGTGGCTCGGCTCTCAGCTCACTGCAACCTGTGTCGCCCAGGCTCAAGCGGGTCTCATGCCTCAGCCTCCTGAATAGCTGGGACTACAGGCATGTGCCACCACACCTGGCTAATTTTTTGTATTTTCAGTAGAAATAGGGTTTCGCCATGTTGCCCTGGCTGATCTCAAACTCCTGAGCTTAGGTGATCTGCCGGCTGCGGCCTCGCCAAGTGTTGGGATTACAGGCGTGAGCCACTGCACCCACCACTTCAGTATTATTTAACAGTCTCTGAGCATCACTTAAAATTACCTCGAGAAATACCAGTCATCTACGCTGCCTAAACATGCAGGCATTGCCTCTTCCAGGCCCTTGCTGACCATCCTGGCCTCTCTTTCCTTACCTTTAGCTCTTTTTCAGCAATGAGCATCTTTCTGGAATGTCTGGTGTGTTTCCTCCCTCTCATATGGGTTGGGATTCTATTTGGACCAGACGTGCAAGTAAAAGATGAGGAGGGCCAGGCTTAGAGGAGATCTTGCTGCCAACAGAGAGAGTTTTCTTCTTTTTTCAGTACATGAACTTTTACTCTTTGTAAAGTGCTTCACAGAGCCTGGGGATGAGTGCGAGACACTGTACAAACTCAGAGGGCTAGAGGACAGGAAGCCGGCACACAAAGGATCACTGAAGATGAGTGATGAGTAGTTTTCTGCATAGAAAAGATGGAGAGGGACATTGCAGTTTGAGGTCATTGCAAGTGCTGAGCATTCTTGGAGGGAAGAAGGGCGTGTGGGAGCATTGTGTGATTTTCTAGGGGGTCTGGAGGATGGTGGGAGATGGGACAGGAATGGAAAGATGGCGACCGGTCTAAGTGCCAGGAATGTGGACCTTATCTTGAGGGTGAAGGGAAGCCAGTGAAATCACATTGTCAGACATGGATTAAAAAGATCATTCTGGCTGCTGTGCACGAACAGTCGGAGGGACACGGGAGAGGCAGGGAGGGCAGTTAGAAGCTGATGGCTAAGGTCTGGGTGAGGGCAGAGTTGATGGGGACTTAGGGGGCTGGACGGTCAAAGGCAGCAGAACATTTCTTAAGCATTTCTCATGAAGTCTCTTACTAGGAGATGGACAGACTATTCATATCAGCCTTTTTCAGAGGAGGAAACTGAGGCACAGTGTAGTTAAGTAACTTATTGAAGTCACACAGCTCGTGAGCACAGAGCTGAATGGAGCTCAGGTAGTCGCACTGGAGACCAGCGCCTTCTTCACCATTCTCTTCCAGCCTTGGTGACCAGAATATACATCCAAGTTTCTGCCAGGAGCAGGGATAAGTCACGCTTCTCTGTATCCCCTCCCAGGGCTCTGTATGGAGTAGGAGCTCAACCAAGGTCAGTTCCACAGCCCCTGCTGGCCCTGCAAAAGGACAGGACAGTCGAGCCACTTGCATTGCTGCTCGGGTCAGCTGGCGTCAGCACCACCTTGTTTATTTGGTCCACTTTCTTCTCCCAGGCCTTCGTGTGAACGCTGCACACTGTCCTCGAGCGCCGGCGGGCACAGTCTCTGTGCCTCTCTCCATCCCTTGGCCACACCACTTGTCTCCTCATCAAACTGGAGTCTCCCAAGGGCAGAGCCTCAGTCTCCGCAGAAAGCCTTGAGGATCCTGAGAGCAAGGACTGGTTTCTCATCCATCTGGGGCTCCAGAGGGCAGGGGCTGTGCCTCCGCATCCTCTGCGATAACTCCCTAGTACCCTGGTTCCATCTCAGTCCACAGTGGGCACAAGGTGGGAGCCAGGAGGGATGAGACAGTAATTACCATCAATCGAGGAGGAGACTCTGCTCCTGGGAGTTTCTATCCCAAAGGGGCTAAGTCTCAGACCTGCTGTTGGGGCCAGCCGGAGAGCAGACTCCAGGATCTAGGTCACCCCTGTGGCGGCAGAGCTGATTTATGGTGGCCCTGACAGCCTAATATCATCAAATTACCCCACACAATGGAGAGAGGCTGGGTCACCTCCAGGCAATCACCAAAGGACGCTGAGCCTGGGGCAGCCCGGTTACCTCTGTATCCCAGACCTCCTTCAGGTCCGTGGGGGGAGGCTGGCACAGACCAAGGGCACACCCAGGCGTGCCACCTTCAGCTGGGGGTATAAGTAGGCAGCCCAGGGACGGCTCTGTACCCTGCACTTGGGAGTCAGCAGCACTCCTACCACTGCTTCTCCGCCTGTGAGCTACCAGCTGTGTCATGAGCTGCAGACAGTCCTCCTCGTCCTACTTGAGCCGCAGCGGTGGCGGGGGTGGCGGTGGGGGCAGCATGAGGTCTTCCTTCAGCCGCTTCAGCTCCTCAGGGGGCGGTGGAGGAGGGGGCCGATTCAGCTCTTCCAGTGGCTATGGTGGGGGGAGCTCTCGTGTCTGTGGGAGGGGAGGCGGCAGCAGTTTTGGCTACAGCTATGGCAGAGGGTCTGGGGGTGGTTTTAGTGCTGGCAGCATAGGCGGCGGCTTTGGGGGTGGCTCCAGAAGTTTTGGTAGTATTTCTGGAGGAGGCTATGGTAGTTCTGGGGGCTTTGGAGGTGGCTTTGGTGGTGGTTCTGGAGGTGGCTTTGGGGGTGGCTATGGGGGTGGGTTTGGGGGCTTTGGAGGTGGCGCTGGAGGCGGTGATGGTGGTATCCTGACTGCTAATGAGAAGAGCACCATGCAGGAACTCAACTCTCGGCTGGCCTCCTACTTGGATAAGGTGCAAGCTCTAGAGGAGGCCAACAATGACCTGGAGAATAAGATTCAGGATTGGTACAACAAGAAGGGACCTGCCGCTACCCAGAAGAACTACTCCCCTTACTATAAGACGATTGATGACCTCAAAAACCAGGTAGGTGCGGGAGACAGCAGTCTCTCTCTGTCTGTGTCTCTGTCTTCTTTCTCTTACATTCTTTATCTTCCAAAATCGTAAAATACTAACTCTCAGCTCAGACAATAGCCAGGGAATCCATCTTTTGGAAATGCACGCTTTCATCAGAAACAAACTTGTATTTGGTTTCTGGGGATCCCAGGATAGAACCTTGGCCTGTGCTCTGGGTGTTCATTTCCACTTCCTCAACTTTCAGAGTTTGGGCGGAACAGAGAGGAGGTCTGGGTGAACATGGGCAGGGCTGGGACTGGACGTGGAACCTCCTTTAGACCTGGTCTAAGTCAATACTCTCTCTTCCTTTGTACTTCTCCTGGGTTCCTTTAGGAGCGGGTCTTGATCTTTTAAGGTATTTTGGACCTGGTTGTACATGTTCATTGTTCAAATGATGGAGAAGATCCAGAACTCTGGGAATGGAAGTTATCCATCCATCCATCCCTCCCTCCCTCCCTCCCTCTCTCTCCCTCCCTCCCTCCCTCCCCCCACGTGTCCATCTATCTGTCCAATTATTCATCCTCTCAGTTCGGTGAGTGACTACCCTCAGCGTAGCTCTGAGGAGACAGTCATGTGCTAGACTTTGTTCTGGTGGAGCTCACAGCCTGGCTCTTCAGCCTTCTCACTCATTCCTCTTGTTTTCCCTACTGCATGTCTCTGGGTGTGCTGTTTCTTCTACTCCAAACCTCTTCTGTCTATTCGCTCATGTTTCATCTTAGCCATCCTTCAGGGCCCAATTCAATTCCCAGCCACCTCCTTCTTGAAGTCTTTCTTGATCTCCCATTGCCATAGGCCACCTCCCCTTTCCTTGAACTCTTTTTAGGACACTTTGGACTTTGCAGTCAATCGTGGGCTCCTTGAGGAACAGGATGTCAGTAATTTCTAAACCCTACAGTGCCCTTTGCAGTAGATCTTCAAATATCTGTTGAATGAATGAATGGAGGCCACACCAAACATCTTTGCTGAAGGCTGGAAGGGGTCTGTGCCATGTCCTGGCTATTGGAAGTCCCGCATTCCTCCTGAGAATCTTCCTGGATGGAACCCTCACCTCCTGTGGCTTTGCCTGGCCTCTTGCTCGCCCAGCATTGGGCCACGGCATGATTTCATGGCCGTGTCCTTTTTTCTTTTTTCAGATTGTGGACCTGACAGTGGGCAATAACAAGACTCTCCTGGACATCGACAACACTCGCATGACACTGGATGACTTCAGGATAAAGTGAGTCCTGCTCCTCTTTTCCTCTCCCACCGTCAGCCCGTAACGCCCTGAACCTCAGTGCTCTGGAGGGCCTGGCAGGGCCTGGTTCCCTCTTGATTGTTTTCTATGCCTGGCCGGTCTGCAGGTTTGAGATGGAGCAAAACCTGCGGCAAGGAGTGGACGCTGACATCAATGGCCTGCGGCAGGTGCTGGACAATCTGACCATGGAGAAGTCTGACCTGGAGATGCAGTTTGAGACTCTGCAGGAGGAGCTGATAGCCCTCAAGAAGAATCATAAGGAGGTGGCGTGCTGGGGCTTACAGTTTACTGGGGAGAGGGAGGAGCAGAAATGCAGGGATAGCAGGGAAGTGTTGGCGCTTCACCTGGGAGACACCCTCTCCTTTACTCTTGAGGACACTTTCAGCTTCTCCTTACCATCACCTATGGTAGTGGGTGGCCTTTGGCTTCACAACTGTGCCCCCTTTTTGTGCCCTGCGAGACCAGAGGGAGAAAGCTGAAAGGCATGAAGAGGACCTTATCCCTGACCTCATCTCTCCTTCCTCCCTGGCAGGAGATGAGTCAGCTGACTGGGCAGAACACTGGAGATGTCAATGTGGAGATAAACGTTGCTCCTGGCAAAGATCTCACCAAGACCCTCAATGACATGCGTCAGGAGTATGAGCAGCTCATTGCTAAGAACAGAAAGGACATCGAGAACCAATATGAGTCCCAGGTGAGCAGAGTGGGCTGCCCATTCACCCTCCTCTCCCTGCATCTCTGCATCTCTCCATCCCTCCCGTCTCCCATTTCTTCATCCTCCTACGTCTCCATTGCTCAGTGCAGCTACCATTCGTTCATATTCCAACGGATGTCATTCAGCCATCTTCATTCACTACGCACAAACATCATTACGAAGTAGCTTCTTAGTGCCATGTTTTATGTAAAGTATTGATGTTTCAGAGGTATTGATGTCCCAGATATGAGCCAAACAAGATTGCTGCCCTTGAGAATCTCACAATTTCTTAGATGCGTGTGAACAAAAGCAGAATATGAACAACTTACTCCAATGCTATGTAATGTAAGACTCTAGGAGAGGGATACAGTGTGTCTCCCATACTGTACTGAGCTCCGTGGTGGTTCCCTTCCTCCCTGAGTCTCCAGTGCCTAGCCAGAGCCTGGCACATACTTGAAGGCATGGTCTGTACTGTCTGTGTGTGTGTGTGTGTGTGTGTGTACGTATGTTTGAAAGGTGGGGACGTTTGGAATAAGTTTAGATTAGAAAGATGGCCATGAGACAAAGTGTGAAGGGCCTTGCAACCTTGTTGAGAGAGAATGTCACATTGAGAGGACTGGACAACCCTGCATGGCTGGAGGATACCCAGAACTCAGAATGACTTGTCCTGGCTTCAGCTCAGCCTTGGCCCTGGAGGCGAAGATCCTGGTGAATGGGGCAGAATCTTGCCCACTGAAGCTCCTGGCCCAGCTTGATGCTGAGTGAGCCTTTGGTTTTGCAGATAACCCAGATCGAGCAGGAGGTATCCAGTAGTGGTCAGGAGATACAGTCCAGTGCCAAGGAGTTGACCCAGCTCCGGCATGGCGTCCAGGAGTTGGAGATTGAGCTGCAGTCTCAGCTTAGTAAGGTTGGTATTGCTGCTGTGGACTCTTTGCCAAGGTGGGGCACAGGAAGGCTTTGCATCCCAGGAGTGGGAAGAAGAGGAATTACGATGTAGCATCCCTCTTAAAGCCTTCTCCTGACCTCTAGAAAGCAGCCCTGGAGCAGAGCTTGGAAGACACGAAGAACCGCTACTGTGGCCAGCTGCAGATGATCCAGGAGCAGATCAGTAACTTGGAGGCCCAGATCACTGACGTCCGGCAAGAGATCGAGTGCCAGAATCAGGAATACAGCCTTCTACTCAGCATCAAGACGCGGCTGGAGCAGGAAATCCAGACCTACCGTAACCTCCTTGAGGGAGGCCAGGAAGACTTGTAGGTGCCCCAGGATTTGGTGGAAGCTCTGGGGTCCCTAGGCCTCTGATACTACTTCTGTCTCTCTGGATAGAGGCAGCTGAGGAAGGTTCTTACACACAGGGTCTTATGGGTTGAGGACTTCGTCATCCTGGGGGTAGGGGGACCTCATGCATTTGGGCTTTGGGGAAGGTGGATGGTGACACTGAGAGAAGGGGCTGCTTCCCTGCTCCAGGGAGGGGAGGGCTTCATAGTCCCAGCTGGAGGCTCCTCCCTCCCAGCTCTGGTGCCAGCCCAGACTCTGTCCTCTGCTTCCCAGGAAGGAAAACAGAAAGATTCATGTTTGGGTCCTGACTCTGTCCAGGTCCATCCTTCATGTATGTATGTGTGGGGGGCGCTCATTTTAACTCTCTTTCTTTTTTTCTTTCTTTCTTAGTGAATCCTCTGGAGCTGGAAAAATTGGCTTTGGAGGCGGCCAAGGAGGTCAAGGAGGAAGTGGATCTCGAGGTGGAAGTGGAGGCAGTCATGGAAGAGGATCCAGGGGAGGAAGTGGAGGCAGCTATGGTGGAGGAAGTGGTTCTGGAGGAGGAAGTGGAGGTAGCTATGGTGGAGGAAGTGGAGGTGGCCATAGTGGAGGAAGTGGAGGTAGCTATGGTGGAGGAAGTGGAGGTGGCCATAGTGGAGGAAGTGGAGGCAGCTATGGAGGAGGAAGTAGCTCTGGAGGAGGAATTGGGGGTAGCTATGGTGGAGGAAGTGGTTCTGGAGGAGGAAGTGGAGGCAGCTACGGAGGCGAAGAAGGAACCAAAGGAGGAAGCGGTGGCGGCTACGGAGGGGGAAAATCTGGTGACCAAGATGAGTCAAAAGGTAAGAGACAATCCTAGGTTGTGGGGTGGAGGGAGGCACAACTCTAGGTTGTGGGGTGGAGAGTCAAGGTATTACCGCCCCCTTTTTTTTTGAGTATTTTTGAATCTCTGGGGAACACAGATTCTGAATAGAGCTAAATGTTAGGGAAATCTCCAGTGAGGTGCCAGAGACCCTTTGGTTCTGAATTGATCATTATTTTTGACAGAGCCTAGGATGAGGCTAGGGCCAAATCTACACATGGCTGAGTCTCAGTAGTGTGGGAAATGGGGTGAAAATTGTGCATTACCATGACACATCCTATGAGGTAGGTTTTAGTATAATCCTCATTTTAAGGAAAATGAAGTTCAGAGAAAATAACTAACTTGCTCAAAGTTATACTATCACAAATGAGGGGTTCAGCTCTGTGGAGCTTCACAGCCAGTACCTTTAACTCACATGAGGATGGGGGACCTGGATCAGCAACAATTCAGGTGGAAAAGAGACTCAGAGTTTTAGTCAGTGGTTGGCTTGCACAAGTTATTACATGATGCAACTGCCAAAGGATGAGCATAACCTAACGTAAGAGAGACTCACACAGGTGAGCTGGTCTCCAGATCAGGGAAGATTTCCCATGTACATGTTGAATTTTATAAAATAAAAATGTAATATGAAATTACAGTAAAAGGCTGTGTAATATGACTGGGAATGTCTAGTTCTGAGAAGACTTGAGGTGCCTGGGAGCTGCCCTGCAGGGTGTCTGGTACGATTTTGTGTGTCCGGTGCACTGCAGGGCCATGGATGTGCATCTAGGAATAAGCCTGGGGCCATCTTTGCCTCAATATCCAACAACTGACTAACAAATCTGTTGAATGGAGGGGGCTGGCTCATAAGCCCTCCATTCTCAGAATTGGGAGTGCATCTGCCAGGGTTGCTGCAACAGAGATTCAGGAATTTGATGGGGACCACTAGGTTGGGAGACCCCAGGGTCCTGCGATCTCAGGATTTTCCAGCTCTTTGAGTTCCATTGTCCTGCTTCAAGTTTCCCCATCTTTCCCCAAGTCCCGGCCTCTCTGACTCCTGCTCATAGGCCTCCCTTCTCCTCATCTCCTTTCCATCTCTCCACAGGCTTCCATGGGCGATACTAGAGCCCCTGTAAACTTCTCCTGCCCAGCCCCAGCTGAGCATCCTCAGATGGGCAGACCCCCGATGAAGCCTGCTGATTGGATCCTGACATCAGGAATAGGTGGCAACGAGCCCCTGTGCCCGTTTGGGACTGGACTGGCTTGGCATATGTGCCTCTGGCTTTCCATTGGCTTCCAGCCCTGCTTGGCCTTGATGACTTCAGGGTTGAGGAGACAGACCTCCTTCCTCTCTCTGGCCTGGGGTGATCTCACACCCTGCATGACCTTGACTATAATAAAGCTTTCCTACTGCAAATCAAACTCAGACTTTGACTCATTTGTTCTTTTGCTCATGTTTGTAATCCTAGCACTTTGGGAGGCTGAGACAGGGGAATCACTTGAGGCCAGGGATTCAAGACTAGCCTTAGCAACATAGTGAGACCTGTCTTTACAAAAAACTAAACAACAACAACAAAAAAAAGTTAGACAGGCATGGTGGCATGTGACTGTAGTCCCAGCAACTCGGGAGGCTGAGGTGGGAGGATTGCTTGGGCCCAGGAGTTGGAGGCTTCAGTGAGCTATGATCGCCTCACTGCATTCCATCCTTGGTAAGAGAGTAAAGGGATAATCAATTGAATCTGCTATTAAAGTGTGGGTTCACTTTTCTATTAGTTAACTTTTGGTTGTAACAAAGGAACTCAAATTTAGTGGCTGAAAACAACAAGTGTTCATTTAGCTTACAGTTTTGTAGTTTAGACTGGGCAGCTCCGTTTCCCTTTATGCATCTACGGTTTGCTGCCAGTCAGCCAGGTGGCTCTGCCTCTGGAAGTTGGCTGGATGATGGTTGGAGTGATGAGGATGGATGGGCTATGGGATCCCCATCCTCCAGCCAGTTAGCTTGAGCAGGTGTTCCAAGATAATGAGCAGAAACATGCAAGGCCTCTTGAGGCTTAGGCCCAGAGAAGTCACTTTGGCTGTATTATATTGGCCAAAGCAAGTCACAACTTAGGCCAGATTCAAGAGCAGGGAACTAGACTTCTCTTGAGGGGAGGAATTGCAAAGTCACATGGCAATGGGCATGGATACAGGGAGGGCAACAACTGAAGGAATTTTTAGCAAACAATCTACCACAGTCGATTGGCAGGTTGTGTGTTAGCTATGGAGAAAAACAAGACAAAAATCATGTGGTATTTGCTTGGAAGTTTTCAAGCAAAAAATATAGGCAAAAATAACGTCCTTCAAGGCAAAGCAATGGACATGCCACAGGATATCAGCCAACAATATTCTCTAAGGATTCTGATAGTCAAAAATCCTTTTCATCGCTAGGGACAGATAGCCCTCTCAGCCTATGTACCATGTACCAGATACTATAGCGGCCGATCAAGCTACTCCCAAGTGCAGAGGCTGGAATGACAAAATTCATTTTGCTCAGGAATCTGCCGTATTGACAGGGCTTGGTGGTGACTGCCTATCTCTGCTCCTCTTGGTTTCCTTGCAGCTCACAGGCTGGGTCATTTGAAGTCTTAGTCACTTACATATATCTGCCCTAGCTGGGGCTCCCTGGACATCTCTCTCTATCTCTGTGGAGAGTCTCACTGTGACCCCTCCAGCACGGTAGCTTCAGGGTAGCCCGACTTCTTACATGCTGTCTCAGGGCTCCCAAGAGACATGTCCCAAGTGAGAAACTGCCGGAAAGAGGCTCTTTGACTTTATCACCCGGACCGGGAAGTCACACAGTGTCACTTCTTCTGTAGTCACAGGCCTGCCTAGATTCAAGGGAAAGAACATAGAACTGTGGTAGGCAGAATTCTGAGATGCTTTCACAAGATTTCTGGCCCTGGTACACACATATCTTCTCCCAGTTATTTGATCAAACACTACTGCGATGGGATTTTGGTAATTAAGTTCTCATATGTGTTGATCTTAAGAGAGATTATCTGGCAGACCTGATTTCATCACATGAACCCTTTAAAATCCAAGAGTTTTGTCTGGCTGTCACAGAAGTCAGAGATCTGAAGTCTGGGAAGATTTCAATGTGCCCTTGCTGGTTGAAGATGAAAGGGGGTCATGGAACAAGGAATGAGGGTGGGCTCTAGGAGCTGAGGGTTAGCAAGAAAAAGGAGATTGCAGTCCTCCAACTGCAAAGAACTGAAGTTTTCCAAGATCAAGGCAGGCGTTGGAAGCAGATTTCCCCCTGATGAGAATTCAGATGAGAGCTCAGCCTGGCTGACATCTTGATTTCACTCATGTGATATCCTGCAGAGAGAATCCAACTGAGCCTGCGAACTGTCAGTGAATTCACAGGTGCTGTTTTAAGCTGCTGAGTTTGCAGTAATTTGTTAAGCAGAAATAGAAAACAAACACAGACCCAGTCACTAGATGGAGGTGTGTCCACGGGACGTTGAAGAACAGCGTGTGAGATGGGATATATTGATGCGGTCATTTCTGGAAAACACAAATTGCCACAGGCTAGCTGAAATCACCAGGAGAGGGGGTGAAGTAAGTGTACACTGAGGGCACTAAGTGACGCAGGAGCCCAGGGGGACTTAAGATCCTGGAATACGTGGAGACGGGAGCAGGCAGGTCATCGGCATCTCTGGGTCAATGGTGGCTCTAGCAAGATGCCTGAGCAGTGAGAGTTTGTGATTGCTTTTCTAGAGCTCCACTGTCAATGTGCAACTGATTACTCTTCTCTGGTTCTTTTCCTGCTACCTGCTATCTTCCTCATTTACCATTTTACATATCTTCTTATTTATTTATTTATTTTTGAGACGAAGTCTCACGCTGTCGCCCAGGCTGGAGTGCAGTGGCATGATCTCGGCTCATTTTGACTTCCACTTCCTGGGTACAAGCAATTTTCCTGCCTCAGCCTCCCGAGTAGGTGGGACTGCAGATGCCTGTCACTCAGCCCAGCTAATTTTTGAATTTTTAGTAAAGATGAGGTTTCACCATGTTGGCCAGGCTGGTCTCGAACTCCTGACCTCAGGTGATCCACCTGCTTCAGCCTCCCAAAGTGCTGGGATTACAGGTGTGAGTCACTGCACCCAGCCCATTTTATGTAACTTTTCTCTACTTCAACTTGAGAAATTCTCCACTTTGAGTCTGAAGCTCTCCGAGGGAGACGCCAGAAAGTTGCTTTTCCAACCTCCCCTGCATCTTGGGCATGGGCCTCTGACAGTTCTGCCACTCGGGTGTGCCCACACAAGACTTTTTCTTTTTAACCACGGCATACCATTGGAGCGAAGGACTTTGATTTTGATGTAAAGGAGGTGCTGAGTGGAATTTGTTATGGCAGGAACAAGGCTGGGCAGAGACATGTGGTTTGTTGAGGAAGCAACAGCGGCTTGGTGGCCAGCAGTGACAGCAGTAGTATCTTCCTAGAGCAATCATTGACTGGGATTTGTTCTGTTTGCATACCCCCAACCTGATTCTCTGCACATCCTGGAAAAGATGCTCAGTAGTTCCTCCTTATTTCACAGGCAATACATTAGAAGACCCTGAGTGGATGCCTGAAGCTGTGGATAGTACCTAGTGCTGTATACACTACGCTTTTTCCTATACATTCATACTTAAGATAAAGTTTACTTTATAAATTAGGCACAGGAAGAGATTAACAACAATAACTAATAAAATAGAAGAGTTATAATGATATACTGCAATAAAGATTATGTGAATGTGGTGCCTTTCTCTCTAAATATCTTATACTGTAGATCTTAGCAACCTCAGCAGATGATTTTTTTTCTTTCCGTAGTAAGTTGAGAACTGTCATCTTTTCTCTTAAATAAAGAACTTTGCGTCTTCCCTTTGGCAAATCTGAATTATCAGCATCACTGCTCTTGCACTTTGGGGTCATAATTAAGTAAAATAAGGGAACACAAGCACGGCAATACTGTGACGTTTGATCTGACACCTGAGACAGCTACTAAGTGGCTAGTGGGTGGGTGGCGTATACAGTGTGGAGAGCTGGACTAAGTGACGATTCCTGTCCTGGGCGAGACGGAGTGGGGCAGTGTGAGGTTTCATCACACTCCTTTAAAACTGGTGAATTGTTTATTTCCGGAATTTTCCATTTCGTATTTTTGAATGACAGTTCACCACAGGTACTAAAGCTGTGGAAAGCGCAACCATGGACAAGGGAGGACGACTGTATTGCTTTCTCTGTAGGTGAAAGCAAATTTATTCTGGTACTCTTTGTTTATTGGGATAGAGAAAAAAGAATTTCCCAGTGATAAACTGTAAAATAATTCATGGCCATCCTCTAACATCTGTTCATGTTCTGCACAGAAAAAATAGGCAAGTTAACCCTACATTTATCAAATACTTTTTTTTTGAGGCAGGATCTCACTCTGTTGTCCAGGCTGGAATTCAGCGGTGCAATCACAGCTCACTGAAGCCTTGGCTTCCCAGACTCAAGCAATCCTCCCATCGCAGGCTCCAAAGTAGCTGGGACTACAAGTGTGTGCCACCATGCCAGGATAAGTTTTGAGGTTTTTTTTTTTTTTTTTTTTTTGAGACAGAGATCTCACTGTATTACCAGGGTTGGTCTTAAATTCCTGGGTTCTCTGCTCATCTTGCCCTTCCAAAGTGCAGGGATTACAGGCATGAGCCACCCGCTCCTGGCCCGTCTAATCTTTTATGTGGCACTAATTTCTGTCATTCCCTTAGGGACGGAGTATTGTTGGCCATTTTTATAAACCACGTAATCCTTCCTCCCTGGATCAGGAACCAGTTAGTGACTATGTCCAGTCTGCCTCAGACACTGGGAAATAGCCACAGGATTGGTCTGAGACACCGCTGGGCTCATGAGAAGCAAACTTGGGCTAAAACTCCATTAGTCATTTGATCTCTGTATTGGTTACACTCTCAATTGCAATGAACAGAAACTAGTCTGGCTGTTTTAACAAGCAAGGGATTTTCAAGAGATCTAGATGTCTCAGAGAGTCATTAGGAGGGCTGGGGAAACAGAATCTAGGCTGATTTTCCAAGAACCCCTGAAATGACAAAGCAGAGTGGGTCTGCCAAGG